CGATTTCTTCATTTGATTTCCTATGTTAATTTCAAAAGCTATTTTTTACTCTCTTTACTCCCCTCTCTCTTCTTATCTCTCTTTCTCTCTCTCTCTTCTTATCTATCTCTTTCTCTCTCTCTCTTCTTATCTATCTCTTTCTCTCTCTCTATTCTTATCTATCTCTTTCTCTCTCTCTCTCTTCTTATCTATCTCTTTCTCTCCCTCTTTCCCTCTCTCTCTTATCTATCTCTTTCTCTCTCTCTCTTCTTATCTATCTCTTTCTCTCTCTCTTTTTCTCTCTCTCTTCTTATCTCTTTTTCTCTCTCTCTCCTTATCTATCTCTTTTTCTCTCTCTCTCTTCTTATCTATCTCTTTTTCTCTCTTTTCTTTATCTAACTCAGTCTTCTATCTATCTATCTCAGTCTTTTCTTTATATATCTATATCAGGTTTTATCTATCTCAGCCTTTTCTTTAACTATATATCAGTCATCTATCTATCTCGCTTATATATATATATATATATATATATATATATATATATATATATATATATATATATATATATATATATATATATTATATCTGTGTGTGTTTGTGTCGATCTATCTAAATCTGTTTCATAATTTATCTAACTCTTTTTAGCACACCTTTCCCTTAAGCCCAAGTCACTTTATCAGTTTATTGATATCAATACGCTCTTTCTTTCTTTCCTTTAGTCTTTCTTTTTTCTTTCCTTGTCTATTTCTCTTCTATTTCTATTTTATCTGTCTACTCAGTCCTGTCTATTGATCTAGCTGTAGAATTATGAACTGATAAACACACATATACGAAGGACATAGATAGATAGATAGCGAGGGATATATAGATAGATAGATAGATAGATAGCGAGAGATAGATAGATAGCAAGTGATAAATAGATAGATAGATAGATAGCGAGAGATATTTATTTAGATGGATGGCGGGGATAGATATCTGTAGATAGATAATAAGTGATAAATATAGATAGATATTAGATGGATAGCAAGATAGATGTGGAGATAGATAGGTGAGACAGATAGATAGATAGCGAGAGATAGATAGGTAGATAGCGATAGATAGATAGATAGATAGATAGATAGATGGATAGCGAGAGATAGATAGGTAGCGAGTGATAGATAGTGAGTGATAGATAGATAGGTAGCGAGCGAGTGATAGATAGACAATTAAAGAGTGAAATAAAGAGGTTGATAGATAGATAAATCTGAACAGATAGATACATTATGAACTGAATAAGACGATTTCCTCATCAATAGACTCTGGATAAATATGAAAAGAGTTTCAGATAGATAATTTCAGTTCCTTCCCTTCTGTATATCACCAACCAACCAACTCCTCTACGAGAGGTGGGACACGTGTCACTCTGCTGTTTGCATTTAACGACATTACACCTCCGGGTATAGCATCTGTTCGCGAGGGCAGTGCTTTATCGTTGAGTTCCTAACAAGGAACGTGTGATATGGTGATTAGTTATTCGCTGGTTTCTTCAAGGTTCGGTCTGGAAAATCGTACACAGAAGATGGCTGGAGAAAAGGGGAGTGAGTGATTGTGCACGTATAGCGAACAACTTGTCCATAACTGCCTTGCTTGCCCAAGAAGTAGTGACAGTAAGTAGTTGCTACACCCATTGTCAACCTTGTCAGGAGAAAATGAAACTATTAAAAAAGAAAAGTCAACTTTTGGCGAGGGAATTTTTTTTTTAACTTTCCTAAATAATAATAACGATAATTAACAACTGTAATTTTAACTTTATCCGTTTCCTTATAAGGAAACATTCGATATTTATTGATTGAATGTTTCCTTATAAGGAAACATTCGATACTTATTGATCGAACAGCCAGTGTTACTTTCGGTTGAAATTTATAAAATCTTCCTATTAAAACAATTTTTTAATGGCCTAGTGGATAAAAAAGTTTGGTTGATTGACCCAAAAAGCAACTTGACCAAAGAGTTTTGAGTTCGATCCCTGGCCACAGCAGAGAGAACAAAATCTTGGAGAGTTGAGTTATCAAGTCGAATTAAGTAAAACTGAGATATCCAAAGGCATGGCACGTGGAGTTAGAACAATCTAAATCTTCCCCCCATCCCCGTGGAATAAATAAAGGGTTTGGTTCAAAATTCCAACAAATATCACCTGAAGAAAGCCGGAGCGTACGACGACCGAAACATCGTAAATATGGTAATAAAGATGAGGACAACACTCTGAACAATGTTAATAGAGTAAACTATTAAAACTTATAGGGAAAGAAACAGCATTCATTGGCTGAGCAGTCAGTACTAATGTCAAAATCTATAGAATGTTTCTGTGAAAACAATTTTTCAGTAAAAATGGGTTTCTCAAGTCGACCGTTTTAACTCTTTCAAGAACCGATGGGGGAATTTCTTTTTGTTTCAAGTTGTGTAGAACATCAACATCTTGATTATGTCATTATTTTCTCTTCGTGTTACATGTGATATCCATTTTAGTTGTTGCTGCTGTTGGAAGTCCTTAAGTGATTTGATTGTTTTTTTTTCTTTCTTTCTTTCTTTCTTTGTGATTCTGTAGCGCCAGTCCACAAAGTTCGAAAAAGAAAGGTGGTCGCTAAAACCTAGAAGCTTCATTCTGTCGAAGCCATTTTTAAATATTGATCAGAGAAAGTGGTTCTATATAACTGACAGCTTAGATATTTCTGAACAAGTTTGGCAGCCATGAATGGCATTTATAGGAAAGTCTTGATTTGGCGAAACTGTTAAAGGATATGATTCCAGTTCTTAGGTTAATGTTTTGGTTCCGTAGCAACTTGCTGTGTTGTGTGAAACTACCTCATAGTGCAACCTATTTTAATAAATCTAAATATATCTAATCCATACACCGAGTTATGTTTAGTACTTACTAAATCGTCATACTGAATTCTTGTGAGGGATTTAGGGTGGGTTCCATTACTGCTTTCATTCTAATTCCAGATCAGATCATCATTTCTGTTTTGAAGTTTTGAGTCTAACTTCTTGTAAAATTTGGTAGAGAATTTTGATGTATTTATGTTCAAGATCATTCTGATCCCAACTGTGAATACCAATGTCATCTTCATAGGCAATCCCATCATCGGTACACTAGTCAAATTAAAACATATTTTATTCAGATTTATCTATTCATTTCTTTTCTATCTCTCCAGCCCTGTCTACCTGTCTAGATCTATTTTTTTTCCACCATTTTTCTTTCTCTCTCTTATTATCTATCTATCTTTTCATCTCTCTATTATTATCTATCTATCTATCTATCTATCTATCTGTCATATATATATATATATATATATATATATATATATATATATATATATAAGTGAACATAGAAGTCAACACTTAGAGGCGACAGTCTGTTTCATGCTAGATGCAATCGTCAGGCCATGAGTGCTGTTATTTTTCTTGATTATCTCTTTCTTTTTCTCTCTATCTATTAGTCTATCTATCTATCCAGATCTATCCATGACTCTCTTTCTTTCTCTCTCTCTCTCTCCTTATCTATCTATCTGTCTTTCTCTCTCTCTCTCTCTCTCTCTCATATATATATCTTTCTCCATCTCTTTCTATCAATCTCTGCCTCTTCATTATTCATCTATCAGTGTCTTATCCTTATCTATGTATGACTCATCATTATCTATCTCTTTCTCTCTATATATCTATCTTTCTCTCTCTCTCTCTCTTTATCTATCTATCTATCTATCTATCTACCACAGGATCTTGACTACCCAGTTGACGTGTTTCTTGTCACAGATGGTGTGTATATTGAACATTTGGGAAGCTTTTTGAAATTGTTTATAAAATCTACATCTCTTTGAATATCTGGTCCGAATTTTGATAAATAAATATTTTTAATGTTCAACATTAAATTTATAATCGTTTGCCTGACGTATGTAGTTACTCAGTTATGCATATTTGAAATGATTTCTGTTTCATGGGAAACCTTGTATTTGTAGCCCAGCGTCACTAATACAAGTCCTGCTAAATAACCAAGAAGAAGCGCTCCATCCAATGGACTTCTCCTTCTTATTCTTCTTATTGTTGTTGTTGTTCTTCTTATTATTATTATTATTTTTCTTATTCTTCTTCTTATTATTATTCTTATTATTATTTATTATTATTATTATTATTATTATTATTATTATTATTATTCTTATTATTATTATTATTTTTCTTATTCTTCTTCTTATTATTCTTATTATTCTTATACTTTTTCTTATTATTCTTCTTATTATTATTATTTTTTTATTTTATTCTTATTCTTATTATTATTATTATTTTTCTTATTCTTCTTCTTATAATTATTATTATTATTTTTTTTTTCTTATTCTTCTTCTTATTATTATTATTTTTTATTCTTCTTATTATTATTATTTTTTTTCTTCTTCTTCTTCTTATTATTATTATTATTTTTCTTATTCTTCTTCTTATAATTATTATTATTATTATTATTTTTTTCTTATTCTTCTTATTATTATTCTTATTATTCTTTTTTATTATTCTTCTTCTTCTTATAATTATTATTATTATTATTCTTTTTCTTCTTCTTATTCTTATTATTCTTCTTCTTATTATTATTCTTCTTATTATTATTTTCTTATTCTTCTTCTTATTATTATTATTATTATTCTTTTTCTTATTCTTCTTATTATTATTCTTATTATTATTATTATTATTATTTTTCTTATTCTTCTTATTATTCTTATTATTCTTTTTATTATTCTTATTCTTTTTTTCTTATTCTTCTTCTTCTTATTATTATTATTATTATTCTCATTCTTCTTCTTGTTATTATTGTTGTTGTTGTAGTACTACTACTACTACTACAAGAACTAACTGGATATTTTGATGGATACACTGGGCTTTGTATGATTGTAGTTTAAACTTACTTTGCTGACATACTGATAAAAATAATTCCGAATTTGTCTTTCTTTATAATTTGTCTACCATTACCTCCTCCTCTTTCTACTCCTTCTTCTTCTTTGTACGGTCATATCACGTTGAAACACCGGTTCTCGGACGATCACCGAAGTTAAGCAACGTCGATCCTGGTCAGTTTCTAGATGGGTGACAGCTTAGGAATACCAGGTGCCGTGCGCCTGGATGTGCGGGTGGTGTAATGAATAATGGCTCGGAATTGTTAATCGAAGATCCAAGTTCCAGTTTCATTTGCCTTTGTTATATTCACTTACGCGCAAATATCCTTGGGAAAGGCATGAACCCATCTCTTCTCTCCAACCCCAATTATGAGTTAATTAGTAAAACTTGTAAATCGCTATTATCTCTAGAAAAGAATCTTACAATTTAAAAATATTTTTTGGCTTTAAATAGCCTGCAAAGGGTAGAGTCGCCGATCACCAAAGTTAAGCAACTTCGATCTTGGTCAATACGTAGATGGGTGACAGTTTGGGAATACTGGTTACTATAAGTTTGTGTGTGGGGGTAGTAGTAATGGATAATGGCGTGGAATTGTTAATCGAAAAACAGAATTTCAAATCCAGTTTTGTCCGTTGTATTCACTTGAACACAAATCCCCTTTAGAAAGGGATGAATCTACTTCTCCCCCCACCCACAATACATAGGGTATTTAGCTGGACTTGTATCAGTAAATCATTATTATCGCCCAACCCCAAAATCTGCCAATTTAAAAGTATTTTTGGCTTTAAATAACCTGAAAAAGGTTGATAAACTGTAAAAACAAATCAATAAGTCAATCAAACTTCTTCAGATGATGATGAGAAAAGACTATGTTTCATTAATCAAAAAACAGAAAAATTACCACCTCCCTTGAAAATCCGCTTTCGAAATCCTGGCTCTTTACCTGATCCCAAATTTAGAGCATCGACGCCTGTGTTTGAATCCGCTTATTTACTAAACAATGCAATTCGGCATATCCCCAACAGTGAGGATCGAAATCACGATACAAGCTATCTAGCGAAACCAGCTTGCTAAGCATGGTTTTTCTTTAGGTGAACCCGTGTGATGTTATTTCAACAGGTTTTTTTTTTGGGGGGTTGCACGTCTGACTGTATAGCAGGTTGGAACTTTCTGTTTTTCACTTACACCAGCTGAAAATTTAATCAACGGACATTTTTTTTATTTATTTATTTTTTTTTTTAGAAGTGCTTTTTTATATTTTTCTTCTTTCATTTTTTGGAAATTTTTTTTTTTTTTCTTTTTCTTTCTTTCATTCTGCTTTTAAAGAATCATTTCCACATTCCTTTCTTATTATCTTTCTTTTATTCGACTTTGTCTACTTGTCTTTTTCTCGTTTTATTCTCCTTTTTATCTTTTTCTTCTTTTTTGTTGTACATTCTTTACTTTTATTTCCTTAGATTACTCCAGTTAGAATTTAAGTCAGTTAAATGTGACGTCATCTTCAACGCTCAAATGAACAAAGCATATATCGTGTATTTATACTTTTTTCTGTATATATACACGACTCAATTTACGATCTCCTAAGTAGAAAGATATTTTATTTAATATTTGTTTTGTTTTGTTTTTTTCTTTTCTATTATAATAGCTTCTGAGTCTTTCCTTGCAATAAGTGCGCTATAATATTTTAGGGTTATTTATTAAAAAGTGTCTTATATTTATTAGTTATTTTGATGGTTTGTGATATGTTGATCAATATGTACATCAATTGCACTAAATTTTGACAAATGACAGATTAAACATGAAACAGTCTGTCGCCTCTGAGTGTTGACTTCGATGTTCACTTTTATATTTACATACGCTCTATCTCTGATATTGAGCACTTTATTCCATAAATATAGCATACCTTAAAACTATATTCCTTCATATATATATATATATATATATATATATATATATATATATATGTATGTATAATGTATATATACATATATATATATGTATGTATAATGTATATTTATATATGTATGTATAATGTGTGTGTGTGTGTGTATATATATATATGTATAATGTATGTATGTATATATATATATATATATATATATAATGTGTATATATATATATATATATATATATATATATATATATATGTGTGTGTGTGTATATATATATATATATATGTATATATATATGTAATTTCTATACGTATTATTTATATATTATATATACGCGGTACTTATTGGAAAGTGATCAATATCAGCGATAGAGTTAACATATTTAGTTGGATAGATGTGAGTTTGTGACACTGGAACGATCGCAGAGGGCGTGACTCCCAAGGTCAAAACTCACATCAACGCAAATAATATATATATATATATATATATATATATATATATATATATATATATATTTTGTGTATTTAGACAGCTATCCTTCTTTCATGCACATTTCATTGAAAACGACAGACAAGGTGCTTTTATTTATTTTTTTTTTATACAATTTCTCATGCGATCTAATAAGTTTTTTTCTTTTCGGATGATAAATTATATAAAAAATCTCCGAATGTTCTTTTTTCTCCGAGCGCTTTCGGCTATACATTTTAGCTATTTTCTGTCGTTTTCAATTAAATGTATATATATATATATATATATATATATATATATATATATATATATATATATATATATATATATATATATATATATGTGTTCGTGTATAAGTCTTTTCTTTTCTGGTCATAAAACTGTCCGAATGTTCTATATATGCTTGCGCTTTCGGCTATTCTATTATCTTATCTTGCATTGTTTTAAACATAGTCAGGCCTATTTAGGCCCATTTAAACTGATACCGAAACTTACCAAACTCTATCCGCAACATATTCGTCGAAATTATGACTATAATAAGCTCGTCCACATGTAAAAAGGCTAAAAAATAATGGAAGCATTAATATAAAGAAAGAAGAATCCAACATTCAATAATATCAACTAAGAACATGGCCACAATGTGCTGACCGTGTTTGTAAAATTAAAAAAAAATTCCTATCCGTAAAACATTCTACATATTCAGTTAAAAAAAAAACATCCTTGATAATGGCTGATAGAATAGCCGAAAGCGCAAGCATATATAGAACATTCGGACAGTTTTATGACAAGAAAAGACTTATACACGAACACAATATATATATATATATATATATATATATATATATATATATATATATATATAAAAAAAAAAGCGTTCGGATACAAGGAACATTCTTGCTGGGTTTTTTTTTTTTTTCATATTTTATGTTTGTTTTGTTTTACGACATATCAACCGCAATGGTTTTCTTTTTATGCCGACAAAATTTTTATTGCTGGTAATATTTTTTTTCAAAAAATCTGTTACTGGTAATATTTTTTTTTCTTAAGCTGGTTATATTTCATCAAAATATCTGTTGCTTTTATTATTTTTTTTTATGTATTCCTGGTAATAATTTTTTTTTTTTTTTTTGAAAAATTTATTGCTGCTAATATTTTTTTTTTACAAAATATGTCTCGTATTATAACCTATTTTTACACTTTCACAGTGTTTTGAACTCAGCATATCAACTTCAGTGGATTATTTAATGCCGACAAGATTTTTATTGCTGGTAATATTTTTCTTAAAAAATGTATTGCTGGAAATATTTTTTCTTCAAAGATGTATTTCTGGTAGCATTTTTTCATTCAAAAATGTATTGCTGATAATATTTTTTTCTTTCAAAAATGCATTGCTGGTAATATTTTTTTCCAACAATCTATTACTGATATTTTTTTTCTTTTTTTAAATATATTGCTGGCAATGACTTTTTTCTTAAAAATGTATTGCTGGTAATCATATTTTTTACAAAGTATTTCTGGTATTAAAACCTATTTTTACACTTGCATAGTGTTTTGACTCTAGTTTGGGGTCTAACTATTTGCCCATAGCTGGGACCCTAACAGGTGCTACTACCTTGGGTCAGGGTGAAACTCAGAACACCAGCAATAAAGAGATAATTCCACCCTCCTTAAAGCGTCCTGATCAGAGGCCTTGCTGCTGGACGTAGTTTATCGTCTTACCCAGGGTTCAGTTTAGCGTCATACCCAGGACGCAGCCCTTGTGTCCAGAAAAGGAAACACTTATACGAACGCAAGAAAAACTGAATAAAATGCTTGCTAGTCGTCTTTAAGGAAACTTGTATGAAATAGGGGTTACTGCCAAAACACTCAATATATATATATATATATATATATATATATATATATATGTGTGTGTGTATGTGTATGTATGTAAAACAAAACCAAAACTTCATTTCGTCACACATAATCAAGCTTAATTATTTTAGTCTTTTGTGTTTCAATTCCACTTTTTTTTATTCGCACCTGTCGCTCTGTCCAATAGCTTCATTTTTTTTTCACCTGAAGAGAGTTTAACAAAAAGGAAATGGCAGGTGCGAAAGTTTCCGTACTAATCAACCGACAAAAGTCACCAAGAAATACCAAGAAGCGGAGGTGATTTTTACACAATATTATTAACTCTGTATGGGCGTGTGACGAGAATGTTAGTTTACCAACCATGAGACACGCGCTCGAATCTCACCATAATCTATCTACCAGGGACGTCTTGATGCATTAAGACTGTACCCTGTACCAGTGTTGGAAAGCGACCAAAAAAAAAATAAGATAAAATGGATTGATCCAAGCCTGGTGAATGGTGTAGGGACGAGGACAACGTTCAAAAGACGTCGATAGATGTGCTAGTCGTCGTGTGCGAGCGTTTGAGCGTACTAACCCTGTTGTATTACGGTCTTTGCGAGGTAATGCGCTCTCTACACTAAACTGTAACTAAGGTCACCCCAGCAGAGGTGCGGTATAAATCACGTCTTGGCTCTGCGAGTGTTAAAGAGACACAAATTGCTAAGATGCAAGGGGTTATTGGGAATGAAAGAGAAGGAGAAAACTTTAATGAGAAGAAGTGAGGAAAAGAATAAAAGAAGGAACGGGTTTCAGGAAGAGAGAAGATGGTGATAATGTCACTAAGATGCAAGGGGTTATTGAGTGTGTAAGAGAATCAGAAGATTAGCTAACCACCCTAGTAAGCACAATTATCTCTCGAAGCTGGCGGTTACCCCCCCCCCCGTAGTAAAATCCTACACATGAAGTATTTGTTCGTAAATTATTTACTCAGTCATTCTCGTTTATTTTTAAAGAAAATATCTATTTTAACATTGTTTTCCTTACACTTTCCCATATGTCCATTAGTACCTGAACGTCTGGATGTGCGGGTGGTACTTATGGTTAATGGCTCTGAATTGTTAAACCGAGTTAAGCGGAGTTCCAATTTCAGTTGGGTTCGATATATTCACTTACGCGAAAATACCAATGCGAAAGTTATATGTTAACCTCTTCTCTTCTCCCCAGTTATGGGTTAATTAACAAAATTGTATCATTAAATCATTATCTTCAGCAAAAACATTATAATAATCTAACAATATCTTTTGGCTTTAAATAAGAGCAAAATGTTGATAAGCCGTAGGAAGCGAATCTGTCAATCATTTAAATAAAAAATACCTGACATGTGAGTCCTAGAAGGGTAGTCGTGGTTCGAAATCTAGTACTCAATGATTGGTCCAAGGGGGAAGCCATGAATTGAATCCTAGCAGTCAATGATGGAACCTAGGAGGGTAGCCATGAATCGAATCCTAGCAGTCAATGGTTGAACCTCGGAGTGTAGACATGAATCGAATCCTAGCAGTCAATGGTTGAACCTCGGAGGGTAGCCATGAATTGAATCCTAGCAGTCAATGATGGAAACTAGGAGGGTAGCCATGAATCGAATCCTAGCATTCAGTGGTTGAGTCTCGGAGGGTAGCGATGAATCGAATCCTAGCAGTCAGTGGTTGAACCTAGGAGGGTAGGCATAAATCGAATTCTAGAACGCATATACGTTAGTTAAACTCTGGGGTTAAATCCACAAAGCTGTATCGAAAAGTTCGCAGCCTGACCAAGAAGCTCGCGCGAAATAAATGCTGGTGTCTGGTTAAATTTGTGGAAGTGTGGACGCGCTATTAAGATTTCAGCTACCATTATCTTGTGAATATGTACGCGTGGCCAAGTGATAAGTAGGTTTGAATCTGACCATGTTCGATCAGGTAGGTGCTTTCTTGTTTTCATCTATCTGGGGAGGTGGTTTCACTTTGGAAAGTGCCTGAAAACCATGCCATGGGTTGACCCAATCGCTGCGAGTGAAATTGAATAGACAGAACTGTTCGTCGGGGAATGTCCCAGCACGAAGTCACAAGTTATTGTGACCGAGGATGTGAGAGCACTGACCTTGTTCAAACTATTGATCATGCCAAATGATGAGCTCTATCCGCCCTAGTAGTAAGGCGTACTGGGATGCAAGGTAATAGCCATTATTACGATGTGGATTATCATTCTGTACTGCAAACATACTAATTGTATCACAGACAAATAAAATACTAAAGGTAAACCCTTTCAGTTTAGCCTAGAATATGTCACCCGTATACCCCACATTGAGGTAAGACTCTACCCCCACAAAAATAGACACGTGCTGGGTAGAGGATTATAGAATCGAGTATAGACAAACAATGTTTTCTCATAGGCCCGACCAATAATAAATAATCAATGAGAAATGTTTAGACATAAGTATAAATCCGACTGATGTTCAGTCTACAGCCTCAAGTATAAATGCGACTAATATTCAGTCTACAGCCTCAAGTATAAACGCGACTAATATTCAGTCTACAGCCTCAAGTATAAACGCGATTATATTCAGTCTACAGCCTCAAGTATAAACGCGACTAATATTCAGTCTACAGCCTCAAGTATAAACGCGACTAATATTCAGTCTACAGCCTCAAGTATAAACGCGACTAATATTCAGTCTACAGACTTAAATATAAACCCGACTAATATCCAGTCTACAGACTCAAGTATAAACCTGACTAATGTTTAACTGTACACTATAAATCCCGTGTATACCTATAGACTGAAGAAGAAACACGACTTATCTTTACCTATAGCCTCAAGTATCTATTAGTCTAATGCTCGGTCTACAGACTCAAGTATAAACTCGACTAATGTTAACCTGTACACTCAACTATATATCATGTGTATACCTATAGATGCGTATAAATACAAACGATTTACCTACGGATTCACGTATAAATCCGACTAATGTTCAGTCGACAAAATCAAGTATAAATCCAATCAATATTAACCTGTACACTCAGCTATAAATACTGTATATACCTATGGACTCAAGAACAAACACTAGCTATATTTATATATAAACTCAAGTATTAACCTGACTAATATTCAGTCTATAGACTCAAGTATAAAATCAGCCTGTAGATTCAACTATAAATCTTGTATATACCTATGGTCTTAAGTAAAAAATCCAAATAATATTTACCTATAGACTCAAGTATAAACATTACCAATGTTTATTTATGGAACCTGTAAAACTGAGTAGTTTAATTTTAGACTCCAGTATAAACACTACCAATAATTATTTATAGTCACAAATATGAACGTGACCGATATTTACTTATAGACTCAAGTATAAACATCATAAATACTCAACCTATAGATTCTAGTATAAAACCTACCAATATTTACCTATAAGCTCTAGTATAAACTCGACCAATTATTTTTATTTCTATTTTATTTTATTGTTAATTATTCTTACTTAATATTTTTATTATTATAATTTTGACGACCGTTTATTTTATTTTATTTATAATTTTAGTTTTTATTTCATCAACAATTCGCCCTTGCATGGAGTATTGCTGCCATATATGGTCTGGTGCCCCTTCTGTTTGCCTCGGGGTTCTTGATAGGCTCCATAGGCGGATATGCAATATAATTGGCCCTGCTCTGGCATCTCGTCTACGGTCACTTTCTCACAGACGCGCCGTCGCCTCCCTCTGTCTGTTCTACAAATACTTTCATGGTAACTGCTCCGATGAGCTGCTTTCACTGGTTCCCAGACTCCATGAATTCAAGCGCCCTACGAGACTGGCATCCCGCTCCCACCCTTTCACTATAGAAACTTTTAAATGTAGCCGTCTCTTCTACGCCAATAGCTTCATGTCTCGCACCTCCCGCCTGTGGAACTCCCTTCCCTATTCCAGTTTCCCTGAGAGCTATAATCTCCAGCTATTCAAATGTAATGTCAATCGACACCTCCAGTTGCCTTGATCTATCCACTACCCTTCTCCTCATCCTTTCTTCTATCACTCCTATCTGATCTTGCTCTATATTTTCTGTAACCCCTTGCGTCCTAGTGGCTTCCCGCCTTGCTTGGGGTGAAATGCTTAAAGAAAAATGTATATATTTATTTTATTTTATCTTAACGTATATTCGTTATCTTGTTTTTTTTTATTATTTATTTTCTTTTTAATTTTACTTACATTTAATATTTCTTTTTATTTTATTAATTTTAATTCAAATTTATTTTTTATTATATACTGTTTTTGGTTTTTATTTATTCTCTTACTAAATGTACCTATTTTATATTTCTTTTCATTTTATTCACATTTATTATTTACTTTTCTTACCCGTGGGCGACTGACGTCTTCATTGGCGTGTGAGAGTCAAGTTGTCCATAATTTTACAGGTGTGTCCAAGATAATCAAAAAGTGTAAATATAAATTTATAAAATAATATAAATGAATTAAAACCAAACGATAGAAATTGATACAGTGGCCAATCCTGCCATTAACAATGATTGATTTTTTTTTATGATAAAAGAAGAAAAAAAAAACGTTTTTCAAACTTTAAACAAACAATCCAGAAAAAAAAATTAATCAAATCTCGAAGACAAAAGAAACGGATGTGAAGTTGTCAAAAGAAAGAATAATGGTGTCCGATTCTTCCTTAATTTCGTTCATTAATTCATTTTTCTTCGCCTCAGTCATCTCCCTCACTTGTTCGTTTTTTTTGTTTTTTCTTCTTCTTCTTTTTCTTCTTCTTCTTTTTCTTCTTCTTCTTCTTATTATTATTACTACTACTACTACTACCACCCTTTACCTTCCTGCCTTATATTCCCCGTTTCCTCCTCCTCCTTTTTCTTCTTCTTCTTATACATCTGCTCGCCACCTTCCTATCCTTAACTTTTTTCTCTTATTTTTACCTGGCACCTTGATTTTTTTCTTCTTCTTCTTCTTCTTCTTCTTCTTCTTATTATTATTATTATTATTATTATTTCTACCCTTTACCATTCTATCTAATATTCCACGCCTCCGCCTCCTCCCCCTCCTCCTGTTCTTCTTCCATTGCCCTTCACTTTTCTATTTTTTATTTCCCCTTCTCCTCCTCCTCCTCTCTTCTTCTTCTTCTTCATTATCATCATCACCCTTTTCTCTTATTTTCTCCAGGTTCTTCTTGTTCTTGCTCTTCTTCTTCTTCTTCTTCTTATTATTATTATTATTATTATTATTATCCTTCTGCCTTATATTCCCAGTTTCCTCCTCCTCCTCCTTTTTTCTTCTTCTTCTTCTTATACATCTGCTCGCCACCTTCCTATCCTTAACTTTTTTCTCAATTTTTACCTGGCTCCTTGTTTTTTCTTCTTCTTCTCATTATTATTATTATTAATAATAATAATAATAATATTTCTACCCTTAACCATTCTATCTAATATTCCACGCCTCGTCCTTCTCCCCCTCCTCCTGTTCTTCTTCCATTTGCCCTTCACTTTTCTATTTTCTATTTCTCCTTATCTTCCTCCTCTCTTCTTCTTCTTATTTTCTCCTCCTCCTCTTCTTCTTCTTCTTCTTCTTTCTCGTAGAATTCTGGTTTCCTCTTTAGTTGGATTTACAATTTTTATGCTTCTTTATTATTATCCATAATAATAGCAACAATACTAATGATGTGATTTTTCGCACATCCATTTTCTTCTCTTGCTTCAGTCGCCATCTTTCGCTTTTAGCCACCGTTTTTGTTTTTTTTCTGTTATAAAAACATTCATAAAAACGTTCATGATAAAAATAATGAAATCATTCATAGCACAATGAACGCAACGATAATATCCCAAATAATAAAAACATTTATGCTAATGGTGGACATAATAAAGACAATAATAAAATCAATAATAGAAACAATAATAATAAAAACAATTACGATATTGGGAGACATAATAAAAATAATAATAAATAACAATAAAATGAACAAAAATAATATTAAAAATAGAAAACAATAAAAAGTTAATAATCAAATTCATAAAAAAACATTAAATAAAAATATTAAGCGAAATAATAAAAGCCACAATAATAATATAAATAACAAAACAATAATAATAATGAAATTATTTTGATACTTTCTTATTATTTCCAGTAAATGTGACTTTTCTGACGTTCATTTATTTTCTTACTGCCACCACCATCGTTTTTTCCTGTGATAAAAATATTCCTGAATATGATAAAAAGAATAATAATAATGAAACGATAATATAGAAAATTAAATATTTCTAATAAGATTAGGATCAATTTTAAAAGAAATATTATAAACAAAATTATGGATATAATAATAATAATAACAATGAAAATAAAAGCACAAAATAACAAAAGCGGTAGTTATAGAAATCATATGAACAACAACAATAAGACAATGAAAACAATAACAATAGAAAAGTAAAAGGACAACGGAAATGATATAAATAATAATAATAATAATAATAATAATAATAATAATGTTGTATCATTTAAATGTCTTTTTCTTTTTAAGACGTCGTCGCCAAATCTCATTTTTTTCCTAAATAACACTTCTTATTAAAATGATGTGTTTTATCACTATTCTTAATGCGGATTTTTATTAAAATTGTTCTAATTAATATTTATCGCCTACAAATAAATCATCATCATCATCATTTTTGTTCTTTTTACCTTTATTAAGAACATTTTTTTTTTCTTAGAGAATTTCAGGACTAATGTATTTTAGTTTCATTAATATTTCTATTTATTTCCAGTCTCTTGTTTTCCTTCGTGACATGATCATTGTTTTAATTGCTGTTTCTCTCCCCTGGTTGACAGTTACCAGTAGTAGTAGTAGTAGTAGTGGTGGTGGTAATAAAGGTGGTAGCCTAGGTGAAGTGGGGAGGAAGAGTAATCGAATAGAATTCAATTCGACCATTTTATTTCCTCGTGTTTATAGACTCCATTAGACTCAGAGCGTTAATCGTCACTTTTTCTTCTTTTTCTTTCTTTTTATCTTTTCAATTAGTTTAGCTTGGTCCTACGCTCTGATTAGCAAGCAGGAAATAAAGAAAGAAAGAAAGAAAAGAAAAAAAAAAAGAGAGAGAGATGAAAGAAAGAAAGAAAGAGAAAGAAAGAAAGTGAGAGATGAAAGTGAAAGAAAGAAAGAGATGAAAGAAAGAAAAAAGTGAGAGATGAAAGTCAGAAAGAAAGAAAGAAAGAAAAGGAGAGATGAAAGTCAGAAAGAAAGAAAGGAGATGAAAGTCAGAAAGAAAGAAAGAGATGAAAGAGATGAAAGTTGATGAAAGAAAGAAAGAGAGATGAAAGTCAGAAAGAAAGAAAGAAAGTGAGAGATGAAAGTCAGAAAGAAAGAAAGAAAGAAAGAAAGGAGAGATGAAAGCTCAGAAAGAAAGAAAGAGAGATGAAAGTCAGAAAGAAAGAAAAGAAAGAAAGAAAGATGAGAGATGAAAGAAAGAAAGAAAGAAAGTGAGAGATGAAAGTCAGAAAAAAAAAGAAAGAGAGATGAAAGTCAGAAAAGAAAGAAAGGAGAGATGAAAGTCAGAAAGAAAAAGAAAGGAGAAGAAAGTGAGAGATGAAAGTCAGAAAGAAAGAAAGTGAGAGATGAAAGTCAGAAAGAAAGAAAGAGAGAGATGAAAGTCAGAAAGAAAGAAAGAAAGAAAGTGAGAGATGAAAGTCAGAAAGAAAGAAAGTGAGAGATGAAAGTCAGAAAGAAAGAAAGTGAGAGATGAAAGTCAGAAAGAAAGAAAGTGAGAGATGAAAGTCAGAAAGAAAGAAAGTGAGAGATGAAAGTCAGAAAGAAAGAAAGAAAGAAAGTGAGAGATGAAAGTCAGAAAGAAAGAAAAAATGAGAGTAAGAAAGAGATAAAAATGATAAAATGGAAAAAAGAAAGAAGAAAGCCAAAGAGAAAGAAAGAAAGAAGATAAAAATGACAAAACAAAATAAAGAGTAAAACTTATAAAAAAACGTCAAATGTAAAGAAGAAGTGACAAAATGAAGGACAAAGAAAGAAAGAAAGAATTGATAAAGAGAAGAACGATGGTCATAACGCAAGAAGAAATGATGAAAAAAGTAAACAATGAATGAAAATATTAAAAAAAGAAGATAAAAAACAAAATCTGGTGATTATAAAAAAGAAGAGATTAAGAAAACGTGAAAGAATTTACATCGAAGAAGGAAAGAAAGAAAAAAGAAAGAAATAAGGAAGATGAAAATGAAAAACAAAGGGAAAGAAAGAAGGAAATAAAGAAAGGAGAACGGAAGGAAGGGAGGAAAGAAAGAAAGAAAAAGATGAAAGAAAGGAGATGAAAAAGATAAAACAAAAGTCAAAGGGAAATAAAGACGTAAAGAAGGAAGGGAAGGACGAAAGAAAGAAAGAAAGAAAGAAAAAAAAGAGTTTAAAAAGATAAAAGAAAAGTCAAAAGGAAAGAATATTCAAATATTAAACCAAAAGTCAAAGAGAAAGAAGGAAGAAAATAAAGGAAGGAAGGAAGGAAGGAAGGGAAGAAAAAAAGAAAGAAAGGAAGGAAGGCGATGAAAATGATAAAAGTCAAAGGGAAAGAAAGAAAGAAAAAAGAGATGAAGATTATAAAACAAAAAGGAAAGGAAAAGAAAGAAAGAAAGAAAGAAAGGCGATGAAAATGATAAAACAGAAGTTAAAAGAAAAGAAAGAAAGAAAAGAATATTCAAATATTAAACCAAAAGTCAGAGAAAGAAAGAAGGAAGAAAATAAAGAAAGGAGAACGGAAGGAAAGAAGGAAGGAAGGAATAAAGGAAAGAAAGAAAGAAAGAAAGAAAGAAAGGCGATGAAAATGATAAAACAGAAGTTAAAAGAAAAGAAAGAAAGAAAAGAATATTCAAATATTAAACCAAAAGTCAGAGAAAGAAAGAAGGAAGAAAATAAAGAAAGGAGAACGAAGGAAAGAAGGAAGGAAGGAATAAAGGAAAGAAAGAAAGAAAGAAAGAAAGAAAGAAAAAAAGGCGATGAAAATGATAAAACAGAAAGAAAGAAAAGAATATTCAAATATTAAACCAAAAGTCAGAGAAAGAAAGAAGGAAGAAAATAAAGAAAGGAGAACGGAAGGAAAGAAGGAAGGAAGGAATGAAGGAAAGAAAGAAAGAAAGAAAGGCGATGAAAATGATAAAACAGAAGTTAAAAGAAAAGAAAGAAAGAAAAGAATATTCAAATATTAAACCAAAAGTCAGAGAAAGAAAGAAGGAAGAAAATAAAGAAAGAAGAACGGAAGGAAAGAAGGAAGGAAGGAATGAAGGAAAGAAAGAAAGAAAGAAAGAAAGAAAGAAAGGCGATGAAAATGATAAAACAGAAGTTAAAAGAAAAGAAAGAAAGAAAAGAATATTCAAATATTAAACCAAAAGTCAGAGAAAGAAAGAAGGAAGAAAATAAAGAAAGGAGAACGGAAGGAAAGAAGGAAGGAAGGAATAAAGAAAAAAAAGAAAAAAAAAGAAAAGAAAGGCGATGAAAATGATAAAACAGAAGTTAAAAGAAAAGAAAGAAAGAAAAGAATATTCAAATATTAAACCAAAAGTCAGAGAAAGAAAGAAGGAAGAAAATAAAGAAAGGAGAACGGAAGGAAAGAAGGAAGGAAGGAATAAAGGAAAGAAAGAAAAGAATGAAAAGAAAGGCGATGAAAATGATAAAACAGAAGTTAAAAAAAAAGAAAGAAAGAAAAGAATATTCAAATATTAAACCAAAAGTCAGAGAAAGAAAGAAGGAAGAAAATAAAGAAAGGAGAACGGAAGGAAAGAAGGAAGGAAGGAATGAAGGAAAGAAAGAAAGAAAGAAAGGAGATGAAGATGATAAAACAAAAGTGAAAGGAAAAGAAAGAAAGAAAGAAAAAGATGAAGATGATAAAACAAAAAGGAAAAGAAAGAAAGAAAGAAAGGAGATGAACATGATGAATCGAAAGGGAAAGAAAGAAAGAAAGCAAAGAGATGAAAATGATAAAGAAAAAGGGACAGGAAGAGAGAAACAAACTAAGAAGTAAAGAGAGAAATAAAGAAAGAAAAGAGATGAAAATGTTAAAACAAAAATTCAAAAGAAAGAAAAAAGTAGTCAAAGAGGAAGAAAGGAAGGAAGTAAGGAAAGAAGAAAAAAGAAGATAAAAATGGTAAAGCAAAAGTCAGAGAATGAAAGAAATGATAAAAGAAAATTCAAATGGAAAAAAAGAAAGATAGAAAGAAAGAAAGATAGAAAGAAAGAAAGAAAGAAGCTTTATCGATCTGACAAAAGAAAGAAGATGTTTTTTATCAATTTTTTCTCCCCCCAACATCCTCAAAAGCAAGAAAAATTGTGTGTAGGAAGTGCAACCAAAAAACAATGTCGCGTGAAGTTCTTTTGTTCAAGACAAAAACCCCAATCCATCTTCCTTCGGTAAGGTCCACCAACCCCTTCACACCCTCTTGCTCCCCCCCACCCACAGCCAACTTCTACCACTAGCATCATCACGTCCCTCCCTCATCTCTCTTGCTGCTTCTTCTTCTTCTTTTTTTCTTTTTTTTAAACGTGAATTGTTTCAATCAGTGAGTGCTAGGATTCGAACCATGACTGCCCTCCTAGGGTTCACATGTCAGGCATTGGGAGGACAGATGGAAAAGTACTAACAAAAAGATGTAAGAAAAAC